GAGCATGATGCTAGCGATGCAACGGGTCGGGGGCAGGAGCATCTTGTGTTGGTTCCTGTCCTGGCACCATCACCACTCACTGATGCCATCAAAGATCAAGAAAACAAGAGACACCCTCGACGACAGCACTGGGGGAAAGGGACGAGCAGCCCGTTGAGGTGTGACATCAAATGCACAACTTCACAGGCCGCAATCTGGAAGTCTCAGCTCCTCCACTCGGCCTCGACTTCGTGGAAACCCCGTCACCCCCGACCCGAGTGCGCTTGGGCCTAGGGTGTATATAGGAACTCCCTATAAAAAAACCCTAAACCCTAATCCTCGTCCCTGAACCATCAGCCTGAAATCCCATCAAAGTGCTGCTTCAAGCAGGGAGCTGCCCTGCAACCTGGCTAAGACGTGCCGGGAGGTTCCCTGCGACTCTTCCCTGTCAAAACCACACACTTTCTTTTGGGGATCGTCCGGAATAGGTTATGGTGAAGAAGATGATGGCACCATCAGCCTCGTGATGATCCTGATGCTGAGGATGATGACGATTATGGGAACGATGACGAAGGGGATGTCGATGGCTGCTACTGCCATTCTGACGAAGATGGCTGCTATCATGGCTTCGCTGTTGTGTTTGCCTGGTAACACTGCGACTACTTCCTGTTGCCCAGAATCCGATCAACCATGCACAGGACGCTGAGAAAGTTAGTAGCAAACAAGAAGAACGAATCCCAACCTCAGCGAAAACAGAATCCGCCCAAAGTGCGTGGCCCTACAACTGCACCAACACTAGCACAGTGGCGACATGAGCGACAGTCAACATGACGGTGAACATCATCACCACCAGTCTCCAGCGTAGTTCTTTTTGATTCGTTGATCAAGCTTATTATGGTTCCGACACGGCAACACAAAGCAAGGCAGCCGAAGACAGGATCTACGGTGAAGATTAGCCACGGTGCTCCCTAAACCCAAACTCTTACCCTACACACCAAACCCAAAGCCCTACACGCTACACCCTAAACACCAAACCCTAAACACTAAAGCCTAACACTAAAGCCTAAGCCCTAAACCCCAAGCCCTGAACACTAAAATCTAAACCCTCAAGCCTAAAACCCATAAGCCCTAAACCCAGAGCCCTAAGCACTGCTCATGCTCATCTGAAGCCCTCCTGTGTGTAGGTGCTCCAGGTGGACGCGAGCGAGGACCGATTCCGCGGATTCTGACAAGATTTGCTTGCTTGAGGGTGGGGGTTTCGGGTTTGAGGGTGTGGTTTAGGGTTGTGGGCTTACCTAGAGTAACCAATGTACCTTTGAAACAGAGATATGACCCCGCAAAAGTTCGACATGTACCTTTTTTTCAGTACCTTGCCGATTATTGCTATTTTTTATTGTCGTCGTCATTATTAATACTGTTATTGCGATTACTTTGATTTTTATTATTGCTATTATTTGCTATTGCTATTATTGCTCTGGGTAGGCTTAGGGTTGGAGGTTGTGATGAAACTAGCACTCCTTAGGGTTTAGGGTTCAAGGCTTAGGGAGTGCTTAGTTAGTCTCTAGGTTTAGGGCTTAGGGTTTAGGGCTTTAGGGTCTAAACGACTGTAGCACCACCATACGAATACAAGCTCGATTTAGCATATTAGACCTGCTTTGGTATTGCTGTTGTCGTTAAGACTGTGGTGACAAAGACGTTAAGGGCATGACGGCGCTGACGATGCAGATCAATGCTGACATCTGTTTGGCTGCCTGCTTATTTTGTTTCTCGCGGTGGTCGACCCCGACTCCGAGTCCGATTGCTACTACTACTACTACTACTACTACTACTACTACTACTACTACTACTACTACTACTACTACTACCACTACAACAACAACAACTACAACTACAACTACAACTACTACTACTACTACTACTACTACTACTACTACTACTACTACTAGTACTACTATTCGACTAGAACATCGCTGCCTCCACTGCTGCTGCTACTGAACAGCTACTCCGACAGCAGCTGCTGGTACCATTGCTAGTGCTACTACGATTTCTCCTGCTCCTGCCTCCGCTCCTGCAGGTTATTGGCATTGCCGGCTCGTGTGTTTATGTTCCAACTGCGACTGCCATAATTGCAAGACACAACTGTTACGACGGCGACGACGATCTACCTCAACCACTACCGCTACCACTGCGACTGCTACTAGTACTACTACTACTACTACTACTACTACTGCTGCTACTACTACTACTACGACTACGACTACGACTACGACTACTACTACTACTACTACTACTACTACTACTACTACTACTACTACTACTACTAGTACTAGTACTAGTACTAGTACTAGTACTAGTACTAGTACTAGTACTAGTACTAGTACTAGTACTACTACTACTACTACTACTACTACTACTACTACTACTACTACTACTACTACTACTACCAGTACAACAAGAACTACTACTAACTACTACTACTACTACTACTACTACTACTACTACTACTACTACTACTACTACTACTACTACTACTACTACTACTACTACTACTACACTACCACTACAACTACTACTACTACTACTACTACTACTACTACGACGACTACTACTACAACTGCTACGACGACGACTACTACTACTACGACGACGACTACTACTACTTCTACTACTGCTTTTGTTACATTGCAGCAATATGCTGCATAAGTGTCAGAATGCTGGAATGCAGCAAGGCGATTGAACACGCCGCATCCTAGCGGAAACTTGCATGATGCATGATCCCTCCAACAAAGACACCCCCTTAACCGCGACAAACTACAGCCGAACCCAAAACTCGATGTTCTCTAAAAGCGGCTCCAAACTGCAATCCCAGACCCTCGGAGCCCATCCCCAAGTACCCCACGACGCAAACCCCGAAACCAAGGCAAGCATCGGCCTTTAAGCTGGACTGACCGGCTTCCAAGATCCTGGCAGCAAGTGGGTTGAGGGTTTAGGATTTAGGCGTTTAGGGCTTAGGGCTGATTTCTTAAAGCTCAGCTTCCGACAGGTTACAGTCAGGGCTTAGAATGCTTGTAGTGTCCTGTTACCATCAAGCATGCATGTTGTTCATGCCGAAGTCTGGAGTACAGTATCCTGCGACCATTTAGAGTAGCCCTACAGCAGACTCCAGATGAATACTGGATTCCAAACTCTTGGGCACTGGACTTAAGGATTTAGTCTTTGCAGCTGGCTAACGAATCAGGTGACCTTTATCATAGGGGTCCTCATAAGGCGTCTATCCTGGGGTCTGGGTGGTGGTGAGCTGCAGCCCTTCGTCCAAAAGCCGTAAGCACACTCCCCAGGTCTTTCGATGTTGCGATTGTGACGCATGGCCATCTGGGTGGTTGTCAACCTTAGGGTACCTTTTTGGGTCCTTATTATAATACGGCACCTAATATTTTGGGTATCCAAAAAGGGACCCTAATTTTGACATCCACCCATCTGGCAGTTTCAGAAAATCGAGGATCCAACGGATCCCTCAAATAGTCGGATCTTTCCTCTACGGCCGAAATTGAGGACTTCCAAAACTAGGATGCCCAGTAACCTAGGAATAAAAAGGGCTCCATTTTTGCTATTGGGTACCTTTAAAACGAACCTAGGACTACAAAAAGGGAGTAAGGGTACTACTGGGCATCCTAGAAAAAAGAGATCCCGATATCAAAGCCAGGCTCTTGGGCCTTCTCCCGGCACCGAGATCGGCTACCAGGGAGTCTTAACCCTACTTGTCGGGTAGCATAGGGAACTACAGGTTAAGCTTTTTGGTTAAATATGGATTATATAATTAGGGACTATACTACCCCAAAAGAAGTTAAAGGTTACCTACTCTATAGGAGACTGAGAGACAGTCCAATAGATGCTGGTCCGAAGACGAGCATCTTCTGAGCTTTCCCCCATCTCAGCGCAGTTCGTTTCCTGTGCTATCCCAAGGAGCTGAACAGAAAGCAGATGGCCTCTGTCCAGAGTCCAGAGAAGAGAGGCACGCTGATACGTACAAGCACACGTATGTATGTATGTATATGTATGTATGTCTGCAAGTATGTATGTATGTTAGTATGTATGTATGTATGTATGTATGTATGTAAATGTATGTATGTATGTACGTACATATTCAGTCTGCCGTCAAGGCTTTTGCATGCAGTAAGATCCTGCAGCCGTGCCCCTCTTCTTTCTCCCACCGCTGGCAGTGGCGTGGGGACACGGCCAGTCGGAGAGCATTCAAAATACAAGGGCTTGTGGCCGGCCTGCATGCACCGAAATGCCCTACCATGGCGACGATAAAGTGTCTGCAGGCGGTTTCCAAAGAGGTCCCACCCGGGATAAAAAAAACAGGAAGCCACAGAGAGGGCCCTAAAATCATCTTACAAGGGAGAGTCCAGCAGATGCTGGCGTTTGGAGTCCAAAGACCAGCATCTTCTGCACTCTCTCCAGCGCAGATCCTTTCCTGTGCCATGTTTGGACATACAATATGAAAGTATGTGTAAATAGAGATATATGATATATGCATATATGTACATGTATATATGTCTGTGTAGGATGAGGCCAGAGTGCACTTGTATTGGAAGTCACAAATGATGTCAGGTTTTTGTAGATAGGCCAGCACATGGGTGGACACCTTCAGAGACGCATCCAGCTCATCTACAGGCAACTGCTCTTCGTGTCTCTGCATGATCCGGTCTTCAGAAATACCAAGACGGCAAGTCAAATATCAGCAAAGCAGAGGCTCTGATGAAGCGAAGTGCAGAATCACTGACACCAAGCCTGAAAAGCTGCAGTATGAGGCCAGGTCACCACCACGATGGTGATAGAGCTCGTAGTACACATGCATCCTGTGAGCCCCGACCAATTTCATGGATGACTTTGCTCTGTGCCTGTCCAGTCACCCGCCAGGCATGCAAGGATGAGTCTCAGCCGATTGGCTGTCGGCGGTGGATACTTGTACATCGCATGGATAGCTCTGCGCTTGGGCTTGTCAGATGCTGCCAGCCCTACGTGTAAGCACGAGCTCCTCGGGAAGAGGGACCTTTCATGCGAGCCCACATCGCCGGCAGCGCCGGGACAGCCGCGCCCCGCTTCTCACCGGCGCCACCCAAGGCACTCAGCTGCAGACGTGTCGGGGACACGGAAGCGGGGGCCAAAGCCTTACTCGTTGCTTCCCAGATCGGATCCTAGTAGAATTTTAGAAATATTCCGCAATTCAGGTATATTCCAACATCGGGGATTGCATTTTTCTGCGAAGTGGTCTCATGCGAAAGAACTTAATTTTGCGTGATCATTCAGAACTCAACCGCTCAGCTGGAATGCAGCCCAACATCGGGCTTGTATGCTTTAGAGCACAAGTTGGATGTGACACGATCCGAACTAATTGCTAGTGACGTAGTACAGCATGAAGCAGAGTTTCGTCAGCGAACATACAACATGCCATGCAGAACAGTGAGAAGCAGAAAACATGTGTAAAAGCAGCACCCATGGGCCCGAAATGCAGTGTATCGCAATGTACAGCATAGCATATAGTATATAGATATTAGAGAGTTTTATTGTATGTGGGGCGGCACAAGTTAACGCTTCTGTAAGCCGAAGACAATACCGGGTACCGAATGCAGCATGCCGGAAACGAGCGTAATCGAGTATAGTCTAGTCAGTGAGTGACACTGGCTGAACATGAAAACGACTCACCAACGGCGTGATCGTGTGCTTAGAGTGCATTCGCAAACGAACTGGGCTTTTCTGTGTTGCCAATCACTGCTTGGAGGGTCGGGGGACTTAGTAACTGGTTATTTTACGGAGTTATAAGTACCATAACCCCAAATAGGGTCCCTTTTAGGGTACTTATAAGTCTACTTACTACCTACTTACTAAGTCCCCCGACCCTCCAAGTGGCGGGCTGGAGGTGCTTAGAGAAATAGCCCCGGAACAGTTGGTGGAGGTGTGCCACGTTCAGGTTCACACCGAGTGGCCCCAAACAAGAGAAAGGCCATCTCCCACTGTGCCCCTTTGTCACGGGCAGCGAGCAGAGTGTCGAGGATGATTTGATCTGGTACTACGCCTCGTTGTTTGTTGGGATAGGGTCAAAAAATGTACATTTTCATTCCTTATTGGGTTCAAGTACCCATAGACATGTAAAATGCTACCCAACTATATATGACAAAGAGGCCAGAAGTAAACATCTGTGCCAGGAGCAGCAGAGCTAGCTGCCACAGACCGCCTCGCTCAGAAGCACTGATGCAAGCATTGAAGCAGAAGACGTTAGGGGATGTTCCGGATGTGGCCATTTCCGACAAGATCGTTAAAGCCATCTGCCACTGATCACCTTTTTCACATGCACTGATGCCAGCACTGAAGCTTACTTCATTCGGCCTCACCTGCTTTGATGACATCTGTGTTAACAACAGCAGGGCAGTCTGCCAGTCGCCGGACTTCTCACAGGCGCTGATGGCAGCGCTGAAGCTGACTGTGTTCGGGAGCAGGCTCTCCGTAGCCATCGACCAGAGCAGCTGCAAAGCCATCTCCCAGCGACTACCCTTCTCACATGCACTGATTCCTGCGTTAATGCTGATTCTATCGGGTAACACGGAGGATGAGGACATTTTGGAGAGCAGGTGCAAGGCCTGTTGCCACTCGCCTGCTTTTTCGCAGGCACTAACCGCTGCACTGAAACTGATCTTGTTTGGCGTTAGGTCGACGACTGCCATTCGCGACAAGAGTGCAAGTGCCATCTGCCATCGCCCAGCCTTTTCACAGGCACTGATACCAGCACTGAAACTGACCTCGTTTGCCTGCAATTCCAGGGTAGACATGCCTGTGAGCAGCTGGAGAGCCATCTGCCATTGGCCTCCCTTTTCACACGCACTAATGGCAGCACTAACAGCGATGACATTCGATGCAGTTCTTGCTTGGAGCATGTTGGACAAAAGCTGCAATGCCTGTTGCCATTGGCCACCCTTCTCAGCTGCACTAATTGCGGCGCTAAAACAAACGACGTCCGGCACAACCTCTGCAGACTGTGCCTCTGACAGCAACACCAAAGCCTCTTCCCAACGACCACTTTTCTCGCAGGCACTGATGGCAGCACTGAAACCTCGGCACCGGCACGTGAGATCCAAACACATCATACGAATGCGACAAACGGTGCTATGAAAAGCTAGCCCCATTGGTGGCAGTACATCCCGCCCAGTTCAGATGTGTACAAGGAACCAAGGGGCTGAATATGTTGGGAGCCACCCGGGCAGATGTCATATCTGCGAAAAGACAAAGGAGTGCCAACTGCCATTGGCTCCCCTTCTCACACGCGCTGATTGCGGCACCTTCCGATTCAGTTCAGAGATTGGCACGAAAACGACGCACTTTTTTGATGGGCAAAATTCCAGATGCACCCAATCTCATTCTGCAAGGCTTCGGGTTTAAGCGCTGACATATTGGGACTGGGGGATGATGATGATGATGATGGTGATGATGATGATGATGATGGTGTTAAGTTGTACTTCAACATGTAAAGGTCAGGTATAGCATACAGCAATACGGTCTCATTTAATTACAGTATACAGCATACCAGGTTACAATATTTTCAGTTTATCGGATTTTGCATCGGATTCTACGACGGTGTACTCTGCTTGTCAATGCCTCGGGTCTAGACTTAGGACTTGGTTTCACGAAAAGGCCTCAATGGCTGGCATCCCCAAAAGAGCCGCTGTAAGGGCTATTTTGAAGGATGTATGTGCACATATATATATATATATATATATATATGTATATATATACATATATATATATATATACATATATATATATATATATATGTATGCACATACATATATCAGGTATATGCATATGTAAAGATGTGTATGGCTCTTGGCCCTTTGAAGGACGGGGCACTGAAGATGAAGATGTTGGGAAGGCCGCCGGCTGCAGAGATCGTGGAAAAGATGTCCAAGGCCAAAGCCCACCTTGGGTGGACAGGGTTTCGAGGTTTGGGGCCTAGGATACAGGTTTAGGGTTTGGGGATTTAGGGTTTAGGGGTTTAGAGTTTAGGGGAAGCCGAAGACCAACGAGCTCGAGATTTGGCTTTTATGACCCAAGTTTCAGTTGACTGACAGCCCATTGGCCGGGGTGGGAAAGGCCCGCCATGTATGTATGTATGTTTGTACGTATGTATGTATGCGTGTATGTATATGTATGTATGCAGCAACAGCACTGCTCAAGAAATCATTGGTTTAAGAAATTGAGCCCCTACGCAGCCGTGCGACAACAAAAAAAATGCATATACATATATATATATATATGTATATATAATGCTTATGTATATACATACAAAAAAAAGCACATTAACAATAATAAATCCAGGGTACCCTGGACTCGGCGTGCCAATTTTTTGTTTTGCTGTTCTCATTTTGGATTCGCAGGATTTGTTCGCGCAAAAAAGGAAACCAAGAAATCAAGAAACTGGGAGAGCAGATTTCGTAATCCAAAAGCTCGGCGCAAATCCCTTACAAAGCCTCTAGAGCCCTCCAAAGCTGTTATTAAGGCCTTATTAAGCCCTTATTCGGCAAGCCAGAACACCAAAAAATGAGAAATCGAGGGGCTCGATTTCTCCTTTTGGTGGTTGTTTTCCTAATATGGCAAAACTTAGTTTAGGCCCTTATTAAGCCCTTACAAAGCCTCTAGAGCCCTCCAAGGCTATTCCCCCACAAAATAAGAAATCGAGCCCCTTCAATTTGTTAAGTTAGTTTAAGAAATCGAGCCCTTCAATTTATTATTTTGATGGTTGTTTTCCTATATGGCAACGCTGAATTTAAGCCCTTCCAAAGCCTCTAGAGCCCTCCAAAGCTGTCTTTTAAGCCCTTACTAGGCAAGCCCAGAACACCCCAAAAATAAGCAATTGAGGGGCTCGATTTCTTAAGTGTAAGAAATTGAGTGGCTCGATGTCTTATTTTGGGAAAGGGTTCTGGTAAGGGCTGAATACAAGCTGGATAAGACGTGGATATGGCTTTTAAGAAGTCCAAGGGATGCCATGGCCGAGTGGATAAGCGCATGAGCTGGAATGGAAAGTGCTGCAGGCTCAAATCTTTCAATGCTCTGATTTCTTGAGTTTGTGTTTTTCTTTGCTGCCGAAATCTGGGTTAAGAAATCCAGGGTACCCTCAACTCCCGCAACGTGTTTTGTTACTAAAAGTAGGTGTGCTTCAAAATTAAGAAATCGAGCCGACCCCCCACACGAAAAACTAACTGTTTCTTGACCGGCTCTGTCACCGCATATATACTTTGTGCACACATATAGACGTAAACACATAGGTATGTGTGCATGCATGGATGTGTGGATGGATGGATGGATGGATGGATGGAGGGAGGGAGGGAGGGATGGAGGGATGGAGGGATGGAGGGATGGAGGGATGGAGGGATGGAGGGATGGAGGGATGGAGGGATGGAGGGATGGAGGGATGGAGGGATGGAGGGATGGAGGGATGGAGGGATGGAGGGATGGAGGGATGGAGGGATGGAGGGATGGATGGATGCATCGACGCATGGAGGCATGGATGCATGGAGGCAGTGAGGGAGGAAGGGAGGGATTGATGGATGGTTCTGTGTGTATGTATGCATGTATGTTTGCATACATGTGCAAGCACACGTGCATGTGCGCATGTGCATGTATATGTAAATGTACGCATGTACATATGTACATGTGTATATGTACGAATATGTGCTATATATATATATATATATACACATGCATGTTTGCATATGTGTATTTGTACATATTTAAATGTACTTCTTACACTCACAAAGATAGCTCTGAGTGGCCCCCATCCCGATACTCAGTACTGGAGAACAGCCGCGGCGCTTCGTGGCTCGGCTGCAGCATGCGATTACCTCCGAGCTTCAAGGCTATTTTTGGGTTTATGGGGTCTATAGGGTTTTGGGGTCTAGGGTTTGTAGAGTTTCGGGCTGAGGGTTTAGGGTTTGCAGGGTTCAGGGTGTACCTAGACCCTACAGAACCTACCTTTGTAAGGAGCTATATATAGAGAAATCAAACTACGTAAGGAACCCTAGGAAGGTAGGTCATCTAGGGCCTAGGTAGGGTTTAGAGGCTTCAGACCCACGAAGTTGCGTGGCCGGCTTGGTGTTCTCGAGGTCACGGGATAGGGCGTTTGGGGCGGCGGTCTTGGGTTTAGGGTTTAGAGTTCGGGGGACAGTCAGTGCTTACGGCTTAGCGATCGTGGTGCAGTTGGATTCCATGTCATGGGTCAAAGGCTTGGGAGATCAATGACGGGTATTTGCACAGCACTTGCGTAGTAGTGTTGTTGAAGACTCTCGCCTGCAATGATGCCATAAGGATCGTGCTCCCGTAGCCAGTCTTTCGCGAAGTCTCGAAAGATCGTCCCCCGTCCGCACGACCCCATCATCACAGCGCTGGTACTATGCGAATGTGCCACATATGAATGAGCATAACTACTATTTGCTTAAGAACCCCCAAAAAATAAAAAATATATTCCTTATGGGTGGTAATATAGGGATTATTATTTTATTTTTGCGTGGTTTCTTAATCAAATAGTAGATAAGCACTGAATCCGGATCCCCAGACTTTCCCAAAATGCGTGTCTGCATGATCGGACGACAAGGGGCCAGTGTACTCAGTACTGCACCAAAACATACTGTAGTAGATTGGAGTAGATGGGAAATTCCGAAAATTAGGGGTACCTGTTCTAGGGTCCTGTATAATAAGGATCCTAAGCATTCAGAGTACTATATTAGGGTCCCCTATTTTCGGAAACCCCATATTGTAAGGTATGTTATAGCATAGCTTCACCCCTTCGCCAGCAGGGCTTGGGGCTTGCAAGCAAGCGCTTCTTTATTATGAGGATCCTACTATTTAGGGTACCATAATCGGATCCCCTATTTTCGGAAACTGCCAAGCTTGAGTTCTTCAACCTCGCACCTCTGCCAAAGAGAGCAGAGAATTCCTCGCAAAGAAGCCTGAAACCCCAAACCCCCTAAGCTCCAAACCCCCCTTGACCCCAAAACCTAAACCCGCTACCCCCTGAACCCTAACGACTTCCCCAAGAAACGATCTCGATGGACGGTCACGAGTGCTACGTCAAAGCGGCACATCAATCAGGGACCCGGGGGCGCCTGCTAGAGACGATGAATACTGGGGCCCTTAAGCACGGGGTCCAAACCCTGGAGCCTAAAACCCCTAGACCCTAACTTCAAAAATAAATCGAAACATGGGCATGACGGGATTGGTCGAGCGTAAACACCAAACAATGAACCCTAAACCCAGAACCCTAAACCCCTAGAGTAACACCGGGCCTCGCAGAAGACACGCTCAGCACCTCTCGGGGACACCCCGGCCAACTTACGCAGTGCCAAAGTCCACGCTCCTGGCACTTGTGCAAAGGAACCTAAGGTTTGGGGTTTTGGGTTGATAGTTAAGAGAGTTCTCGTTAAGGAACCCAACAGACGCGACGTACGAAGGGTCCAAATAGCAACTCCCCTCCGAAAGCCGCCCTAAACCCTAAACCCCCTAAACCCCATGAAAGCCAGGGACTCAGGGTGGGGCATGAGCCTGGGGACTTTAGAAAAGTTATCCTTGCTCGGAGTGTGAGGCTGGGCTGGTAGTCATGGAGAAATGGGGTTTAGCGATTGGGGTCTACCTTAGCCCTGAATAACCTACCTTTTTAGGGTTCCTTATTATGACTGCTTTATATAAGTCCTTGAAAAGGTTGGCTATTCTTTGTTAAGGTAGGGTTCTCGGGATGAGGTTGAGGAAGTTGGTAGATCACGACCGCTGGTGTGGGCTATTGCTGGGAAAGGAATGTCGCTATTTCGGCTGCATGCTACCTCCATGGTGCATCGTGCAAACCTCTGTCTGGATCACCGGAGGCGGAGAGAATCTTGTGTGTAAACGGCTCACGAAGCATTTGCAAGAGAGTGTGTTGAAACACAGATGGCGCATAGAGACGAACTGAAGGGCCCATTCCCAACTGGCATGCAAACTAGCAGAGCCCGAAAAAGACTGCCGACAAAACGGTCTGCATCCAACACACCAGACACATCTACCAACATCTGATTTAACAAGGCCTCGTATTCAGTACTTCACCTTTTTGTGGCCCTGGCTTGCATTCATCGCGAAATATTCAAAAGTCAGATTCGGAGCAGCCTTTGTCGCAAGTTCGAAGCTTTCTTCACGTATTTTACATCCGACTCATATTGGGCTTTTGTGTGAAGCCCAAAACATCCCAAAACCCTAAACCCCGACGCCAGCTCCTTTGATCAA